AGCAGGAATCATCTCCAAAAACGTTCTTACCTGTTATTGAACTGTTGATTGTGGACACTTTTTTCTTAATACGCAACGTGTTTAGTTGTTTTTTTTTTACAGTTCGTGAGTTCAATACTGTTGAGACTGGAGAGAACAAATACATTTTACTTAATATTTGTTCAGACGTTTGTGCCTTGCACACTTTTTGACGGTGGATACTGAGCACAGGAAGTCTGCTGTTATTGTGTGTCACCCAACATGAAAGTAAAAAAACTGTATGAACACGTGATGGCTGTTGCACTAATCTGTGTACATCGTGCTCTGTGGTTTCACATCGTAGTCATTGCTACTTGTTAAACAGTATTTACAGTATGCACTGATTGTTGCATGCAGCGGTGCCTGCTGGGGCCGTATTGATAACAGGTTTTGTGTGGACAGGTGACTGGAGCAACATAGTGTTAACTGCATTTCTATAGTGCTTATTCATCTCTATAAATAGAGAGCAAGAGGAAATGGCATGTTTGGACTAAGTGACAGATAAAGGCAGGCAAACAGAAAGGGTTACAAATGACTGTAGATAGGGGGGTAACAGACACTGTGGGGCCGGTGGATCATAAAGGATATTGATGTAAGTGGTGGTAACGGTTGAAGCAGCAGCCACACACACACACACACTCATCATTCAGTCCTTCCTCTCATTTAATGCTGGTGGCAAGGAGAATAACTGGCTCCTGTTCCTGGAGAGGCTGTTGTGGCCGGCAGCCTGCAGGCCATAATTCACAGTGCATTTACTGATCCTGTGTGTTCCTGACAGAGAGTCTGTGCACTGACCTGGTTGGTACTTGCCTAAGGAGCAGGTGTCCACTGTTTATCCTGGTGTGTGACCACGCGGTGTAACGTAAAATGCAGGTTTTGTGTTAACAGCTGACAGGGGCTTGCAAGAGAGAGTGAGAGTGAAAACAACTAAGATGTGAAGTCATGTCAGTGCATACATTATATTACACATCGTTTAACTCATGTTTATACAACCAATGTGAGGAATACTTATATCGTTAGCTTGTGCTCGATGTATCACATTTAAAAACATCACTAAGCCGATTGCTTCATTATCAAATAGCTGTTCCTTCATTTTCAGTCAACTATTGAAGTAAGTTACTTATCGTTTCTGCTTTAATCAGTGATAAGAAGAAATTCTGTTTCGATGGTTACGTATAAATGTTTTTAAATGCTAGAACCTGATTTTCATTATGTGCTCGGCTTGTTTCGCTAATTGTGATATAGAAAGTGTCATTCACTAGTTGTGTAAAGGGAAACGTGTGTCATCTCTCTTGGTTGTCACCTATCAACAGTGTTGTTTCACTACATCAGTGCACAGTCATATTGTGCACTTGACTTCTTATACGTTGCACATAAAGGCACCAGCTATTTATCAGTGCATGCAACACTACCACTGTGTATATTGGATATGTGTTATCTGTAGAACAGAAGAGGAGACTTAACTCGGTCAATTCATAAATAGATTTAGATCAAGCGATATAGAAAACGATAAAGGTCTGTACAGATTTCAGTATGAAGGAGCCATATTTTGTATGTTTTAAGGCCATGGTGGCCGATGACTGAGCTATGCTCCTGCAGCTTGCCATGGATGTGGTGTGATCATCACTGCTGATATCCTCATCAGGAGGTCTGAGATGGTGTGACCTCAGCGGTGCCCAACCTTCCGTGCAGGGTGGACAGCTCACTGCATATGATGCTGGAGCTTGATGAGCACATTGGTGTTGTAATAATTCCCTCTGCTGAGGGGAAACCCACTCTCCAGCATTGCTGCTTCTGCTTATATTTGCACATTTTCCTCAGCTAGTCAGTCATAATCTTGCTGTCTTTCTGCTTTGCTATCTCTCTCTCTCTTTCTCTGCCTTGAATTAATGGGCAGGCATTTTTACTGCTCCTCGAACACAGCAGCCACTGACTTGTAGCTAATGAGGACAAGGAGATGACTCCAGTGATAGTGATGGTATGAGACTGATCTCCAGCCAGAGGAAGATTAGTGTGTGTATTTCATGGGGGGTGTTAAGCCCAAGAACTGTCCTCACAAACCAAAAGTATTCGTACAAGATTGGTGATAAAGGAAGAGGGAAGGAAAAGAGCAGGGTATAGGTGGCTGCAGATGCTAGATGCTAGATATTTTCCTGGAATAATGATAGATGGTGGTAGATGGAAGAAGGGTGTTCATCTCTCCAGCAGAGTTCAGAGACTGGGAGGATGTTTGCTAATGATCAGTGAAGCTGTTCAGGAGGTGAAACAACACCTTGTATGTTGGTTATCACCTATCTGTATCTCTAGCAAGCTCCACTTTCCTTATTTCACTCAGCTGTTTTAAGTTTTTAAAGCAGCATACATACCTAGAGTAGCTTCAATGTGGCTTTAGATTTTCTTAGGGACTATACAGTAAATATACCCATTTTACATTTCTCTCAATGTACCTGACATGACAGGAAGGTCTCAGTGAGGTGCTGGGCCACCACTTGCCTCCAGAACAGCTTCAGTGCACCGTGGCATTGACTCTCCAAGTCTCTGAACTCTACTGGAGAGATGAACTCCATTCTCCCAAAAGACAGTCCCTCATGTGGTCTTTTGATGGTGGTGGTGGAGACGCTGTCTAACACGTCACTCCAACATCTCTCATGTGTTCAACTGGGCTGTGAAGGCCACAGCATATGATTCACATCATGTGTGGTCAAAACACAAAAGCACATAGAACAAAGACTGTTTAACTGACCAAATACTTTGGGTTTGAACTGTATAAAACTAGTGTGAGCAAGTAACTAGCTTAGCTTAACACGAAAATGTGCAGTTTGAAGCTGCTTTCTTCATGATTGGTGTTGTCAGAAATGCAACAAACTTTCAGCCCATAGCGGTCTGTGCAGCAGTGCACTCCCCTGCAGACATGCACAATTAAAATTCATATTTTCTCATATTATAATTGTTACAAACCAGTTGAGGCAGGGTTTCATATTGACGTCCCAGTAAAAGAGCATTGTGTCTGATGTACAAAGTTGTGTGCTGGTGCTTTTTATCCATCCTAGTAACATGTTATTTCAGACTTCTATGTCCTGTTGTTCTCCAGGGTTCAGCTGATTCCTACACAAGTCGACCGTCTGATTCGGATGTGTCCCTGGAGGAGGAGAAGGAGGGCGGCCGGCAGGAGAGGGAGCAGCAGGCCACGGTTCAGCTTGAGAGGGCAAAGGTCAGTTTCATAGGATAAAGGAGCCACATACAGCACTGCATATCACATTAAAACCCACACAGTCTCAGCTCACAAACAAAAGATTCACTGTGGTCGTCATTACCAGCTACCAGGTTTTACACTGTACACTTCTCATTACATCTCTCATAACACTGGGCTAAACATAAGCAAAGGGATATGATAAAACAGCTACGGTGATGTTTAACAGCTGCCCTTTGTAGACCATGACGCGATGCTGCCATAATATATTTTTGAGTTTTAAGCATAAGGGTCACAACCGTTTGTGTGACAACGTTAGAGCTTGAGAGAGATTGTTCTAATTTTGTTTATAATGGAGTAGATGTGGCTTCATTTGTCTAGTTTTCTCATTTATACCTGTGCTTTTGCTGCTGTAACATGTGAAATGATCATCTGTGAAAAGGCCTTTTGTTGCAGGACTGAAAAACCAATCTATGTGAATTTATGCATCTTGGTTAGTATTGGTTATACTAGCATTAATATGCAGTAGTGGTGTCAGAAGCAAACAGCAGCAGTGCTACTAAGTACTTAACTGTGATGCCAACGTAAGACCAGGGGAAGACGTCATTTTACTGTATGCTGAGAGCACATCTAGATCAATCAGTGAATCAATGTAAGAAATAAATGTTAAATAAAACAAAGTTTGTACAAAAAAAGATGAGAAAAATCATCATCTTCAGGCATCATCCATGTTGTTTATAGTAGAAAAAAGGCCAAGGTATGAATGTAGTGTGTTTGAAGCTGTGAGATCTTCTGGCCCTGCACTGTGCCATGCGAACATCAGCGCTCGTGTCTGACAGCCACCTTTCTCAGGAGGTCTGAAATAGCGTCCGTCTAGCGGCACCCACCCGTCACTGCACACTCACTGCATGTGTCATGCTGGAGCTTGATGAGGTGCAATAACTCTCTCTGCTTAGGTTATAAACGATTTCTTAATTGAACGTTAACAAAAATCATAAAATACAAAGATCATTATATAAAATGTTCTGTGATGTGACTATAGTTGTGAAATCACCTGACGTTGGCCCCTCATTGCTAGAATTATTCCTTTGTACCTTGCGTCTTACAGACTAAGTCGGTGGCGTTTGCTGTGAGGACCAATGTCAGCTACTGCGGTGCATTGGATGAGGACGTCCCTGTGGCCGGTACTGCTGTTTCTTTTGATGCCAAGGACTTCCTCCACATCAAAGAGGTATGATTCAGACACTATCCACCAGAGCTAAACCTGTGGTGCTGTATGGAGGATTGAATTTGTTCCCTTCAGTTTAGCTTTAATCACATGAAAGGGTCTATTTGTGCACTATATAGTTTCATAGCAACTATTCTGTATCTAATAGATTTGATCATCAGGTTGGAGCTTGAGCAATCTGTCGAGGGCAGCTCCACTGTCTCCTCTTGTTCTAGAGCTTTCAGACATCCTACTTTGTACTTCTGTGTGGAAATGGCATTTGTTTTAGGTCGTGCCATGGTGTTGTTTAACATTTCTCAGTGTTTTCTGTCTCTTCATGTAAAGCCCAGACTGACACCATGATGCTGAGATCAGGGGTCTTATTTTTCTTGTTCCTTTAGTATGTTGTCACTGTCATGCTGATCATGTACAGTTATTCGTGTTTAATGTTGCCGGGCTCTTCCCTGTTTGTGTTTGTGATTTGGTTGAGACTTTCATGGCACGTGTCCTTTTGGAACAAGATTTTATGTCTTAATAAGGGAATGAATGAGAGTTTACTGGACATGATTGTTAATCTAATTCTACTCCAATAAACATTGTTTTATGAGAGGAGTAAATATTTTCCATCTTCTGTTATTACTGTCCATTGGAGACATTCGAAATTTTGATATTTTTTCTCTGATTTCTATCTTGTTGTTGTACAGAAGTACAACAATGACTGGTGGATTGGCCGCCTGGTGAAGGAAGGCTGTGACATCGGCTTCATCCCGAGTCCCCTGAAGCTGGAAAATATTCGAATTCCGCAGGAACAGAAGAGAGGGCGATTCCACGGGTGAGTAGAGGATGCAGACTGGATGTGAGAGGGCAGCGCAGGCAGTGGAAGAATCGACGGCATCGAATAATTTACCCAAGAATCAAAAGGGTCTAGAGGAGTTGAATAGGTTTCATTTATGGAGGAGAGCGCCGTATTAGGGAAGAGTCGACAGGCAGGAAGTCAGGTGGATGAAAGCCAAGCTGTGTTGTGTGATCCAACCTGTCAGGGGTGTGCCTGGATCCTGGCCATCAGATGGGGTGATGTGTTTTAGCCAGAGTGAGTGCTATAATCTTTCCTCAGTTACAGTGGTGAGAGAAAAAGGATGTGTCACCTTGAGTCATGTCACTCTCCTATTTGGTTGCCGTTACAAAAGCATTCTTTCTGTAGCCTGTAAAAGTCTCCTAGGTGATGAGCTTGTATATTCAATCACAGCACAAAGAAGCAGAGTCATTTGACTTCAAAACTTATTTTTATGTCAGTTATTTCATATATGATTTGTACCTCAGTACATATCACAGTTCTATGACTGTGGACCATTTACATTCTGGACACGCTCTTTGAACTCCTCCCCTCTGGATGGCGCTACAGGTCACTGTGCGGAAAGACAACCACAACCACAAAAACAGCTTCTTCCCCTGGGCTATTACACTCTTCAACAGCTAGTCTATGTTCTTTTAACTTGTATATATGTCGTATTTATTATGTTTGTATTGCTGTGCACATCGGGGGCCACCGAGTCAAATTCCTTGTATTTTTGATCATACTTGGCAATAAATCTTATATGTCATTTACATCCAAGGAATAATATACACATCTGAACATCGTTTTTTCTCTTTAGCTATTTTGCACCATGAAGTGTCTATGGTCACCTGTGTCCTCGAGTTTTGTGGTGTTTAACTCATGACATTTTGCCAGATTTCACATTAACACTGTTCTCTTTCTGTTCTCTTATATAAATGCAGCACTAAATCCAGTGGGAATTCCTCCTCCAGTCTGGGAGAAATGGTGTCAGGCACATTCAAGCCAAACCCCAACTCTGCAGGTTAGGCCCAAAGACACAGGTTTGCTTAGGTCTGAGAGAAAACACTGTTTGTCTTGGTATCTGCTCTGTATTTGTGTCTGTATAACAGTTATTTATTCACCTCCTGTGAGATTGGGGGCAATAGGCCACATCTGTTTCCTTGTCCAACCTGTTGTTGACCCTGATGTTCAGTAGTGTTAGCTATGCTAGCCATTAGCCACAAGTTACATTAGCCAAGCTCTAATCTAATTACACTCTAATCTACAGAATAAGTGAAATGTTTTAAACAAACAAAATGCTTGTAAACAGTCTTTGTGAATTTACATGCTAAGAAGAAATAAATAACTGTGTTACACTCGAACTGTAAGCCCTGTATCGTGTATCAAACCGAAGTGTGGGCTGGTTGTTTCGTTACACATCTCCATTGTCATGTCTGGTACCACTTCATATGTAATCCTAGTTCAGTAGACACTTACTCAGCTGATCGTTCTTTTCTTTTTCAGGAAAGCAGAAACAGAAAGTGGTGAGTATGGTAAATTACTTACACCGCTACTGTAGCAGCTACTAATAATTTGAACATTAAGGGCCATATATAATGCAAGTAATTAAAGTGTATGTAAAATATCAAAGAGCTTGAGTTGCAGTTGAAAAATTCAAGTTAGTACTTAAACCGACAGTAAAATTGCCATGTATTTGGTGTATTATTAGCCACAGACCATTAAAATAGTCTATAAAAGGTACAATATCAAATAAAACTTATTTATATTCCTCCTTAGTGTGCATCACATATTTAACATAGGTTGGTGGGTTCTTCTGCTTCAAGTTTAATAAAATCTGTTTATGTGCATGTGCTAGCAACACAAAGAATCATAGTATCTTTTTTGTTTGAACTCACTATCAGAAGCTGTCATACCAAAAAACTGCCAGCTTTGGAGCTGGAAAATAATTTCGCTGTGACCCAGACAGATACTGGAAGAGTTTAGCCCAGTGGTTAACAGTATCTGGCAGTTCCAAAACACGTGCTAAAGAGAGGTGCCTGTAAGGAGAAACCCTTGTCTAACACATGCAGTAGAATAATAAACATGTCCTGGTGCCTTTTCCCACTGTTCTTCTATGATCTCCATGTGGCTGAGCAGTCTGAATATTGTAGTGCGTCATGAATATGCAGTATAGCTCATTTGATAAAAGGATTGGACAGGGGTAATGAAGCTGCTGAACATCTAGCTGGTTCCTTGGGAAAAGATCAAGATGTGTTGTTAACATACAGCATCTGCAAACCTGAAGGTAAAAGAAGAAATGTGTTAGGTTAAATAAGCATTTATTAACAAAATGATCATGTCCTGGAAAAAATAATGAAATATGTTGTCAGCTGATGGCAGGTTAGTAATAATAACCCTTCTGTTAACATTTAGATTAATGAGTGGGTCTTTTTTTTTGTTATTGTTGTGACATTTATACCTGATCAGAAAGTGGACAGCGGCTGCCAGTAATTTTAACATGTGTAAATACATCTAAGCGAAACTGACTTTGTATGCATTTTCTTATTTATGGGTTTTGTAAGTTACAAACCTGGCGGATTGTTACATTTTTAGTACTGTCAATTTCCACATTCTCAATAAATCTCAGAAATGGTAGACAACACTTGAGAATATTTAATTTGATATTCATTATTTTCATGAAAGTCCTCTGTACACATGGAGGACCGGAGTTTTATACAATTTATAAGTGTCCACTTTGATTTACTACCACTCTGCCTATGTTGACTTAAATTCTTAATACTACCATTAAACTAATTCAGCACATTCTGACCAGAGCTCACTGAGCATGCATAAAGTCTCTAGGGTATATTAAATGAATTAGTTGGTACAGCTGAGTCAGATTCTGATAAGCCACTTGCACCAGAGCATAGTGAAATATCTACAGTGTCAATTGTTACAGCTCAACATTACTGGTTATTACAAAAAGGGACATTTACAGTATCTATCTACAGTCATCATGATGCATTACTTAGTTTAAAGTGTCACTCAAATTGGAAGAATGCTTGGTGACTTCAGGAGACACTCACTAATAACCTGTGTTCCCACTTCTCCAGGCCGAGCACATCCCTCCGTATGACGTGGTCCCCTCCATGAGGCCCGTTGTCCTGGTGGGACCTTCCCTGAAAGGTTATGAGGTACGATGCACAGCTGCTCCTAGAGCTGTGTGACTCAGCCACAAGTGAAACTCTCTTCTCTTCATCCTTACATTAAGATAAGATAAGATAAGATATCCTTTATTGTCCCCTTAGGGAACTTGATCTTGTGACCAATGCTGCTGCATCACATTTATCATCAACCATGCTTAAAAGCATCCTAGTCATTAAATCATGACTTAGACATACAGTATACAGGCACACATACACACAATAGGATAGTTTAAATAATTATAATGCGGTGCACTCATATGTACCTCTCGAACTTTTATACACTTCTTATACAAGAGTGTGGGCATGTTGAAAGTGAGTGACAGCTGACAAGAAGGAAGACTGACCTTACAGTTTAATGAAATGTAAACAAACTGTTTCACCTGTGAAATCACTAGCATATTCCTTGTTTGACATCACTTTACTTCTACAACCTGCACCATCACTAGTGTATATCTGGTACCATACATATTATGTATTGACCTGTTAAATAAACAATAAATTAAAAAATACATTTTTTTCTCAAGGTGACAGTGAATCCATTATACGCCGAGCTGACTCATGTCTTACTGGATGTTACATCGTGTTGTGGCTTCTGGCTAATTCCTTCTGAAGTTAAAAGTCAGATATAGCATTAAAATTGAACTTCCCACTGATTATCAGTTACCACTGGAACCACAGGACAAGGAGGTGGTGGGAGATGGGAGCTGGAGTCAGTTGTCATGGCATCGCAGTCTTCACCTCCCATTCTGGTGTTGCCATGGTAACATGCTTCTGGGTAAACTGCATCAGTCTGAAAAGTGGAGCACGGTTTGAAATTAGAAGCAGAGAATAATGTGTACTGCATGCGTTAGAATGAGATGAGTTACCAAATGGCATTTTGTGTTTCCATAAGAAACACTGGTATTAGCTATTATTCACATGAGACGCCTTTTCGGTTTATTGCTCAGCTCAGTACAAGGCAGAAAATTCTATAAACAATAAAGCAACTGACAAGTTGAATGCTATTCCTGTGCATTATGTCAAGCTTGTGTGAAAGGTGGCACATTTGCAGAAATTTTCAGATAAATGTAGTGAAGTAAAACATTTCTCTCTAGAATGTAATGCAGTACAAGCATGAAGTAGCATAAAATGGTGCAAGTAAAGTTGGTTCCATTGGTCACATGTTGGTCAACAGTCATTGCACATGTTAACAACACTGTTTTTCATCTGGCACTCTGTGTTTCAGCCCCTATCAACCATGTGTCACCGTCAAGATCATTCAAACTATTCAGAGTGGGGGCTGGCACATGGCATTGCCTGTTTTGATTCATGTATTCACTGAGTCAATGTGTCAAACACCTTGGCTGACTTTCTCAACAGAAGCAACTACTTCTGCTCAGAAACTCTTGAATCTTTGTTTCGATTCAAGGCTTCAGAGTGGTACTCATATTCATCAGCCGAAGCTATATTGGAGGCTGCACTGCGTGGCTGCCCCGGTTCATCAGCCTTTGCGACACTTCTCATTGTAGCTCTTAATCACTTTATTTAATGTGGCTCAGCTTTGTTCTGCAATGGAGCCAGAAAAAAAGAAACGGTGCTCGCTATAGAAACACATCACTTAGGCAAGTGTGTCACAGCCTGAATGGGTGGCATAAAAATGAGTTATAAAAGTCCACTTGTTTGCTCTGCTCTATTCAGCAGTTGTTGATGTTGTAAACCTCTTTTTCTGCTTGTAACATACCTGACTCGATGTTCCTGACCTGACCTCTTTGGCTAATCTCTCTTTAATTATGTGTTCTTTTATTTCCTCCTCTTCCCTTTTCATCTTGTCTCCACCGCCTCCTCCCTGATTCATCAATGCAGGTGACAGACATGATGCAGAAGGCGCTGTTTGACTTCTTGAAGCACAGGTTTGATGGGAGGTGAGCAGCATCCTTCATTCAGTGCATCACCCTGCTGCCAGCTTGCCTTGTCTCACCTGTATGTTTTGCATTGTTGCAGGATATCCATCACAAGGGTAACAGCTGACATATCGTTGGCCAAGAGGTCAGTACTAAACAACCCCAGTAAGCGGGCCATCATTGAGAGATCCAACACCCGCTCCAGCCTTGGTAAAGCTACAGGAAGTGTCTCACTCAATGATGTGCATGTCTTGTGGGTGTTTATGGGAATGTTTTCTTTACCTTCATATCCCTTCTTGTTCATGATTGTTGTGCTCTGTGTTGTTGTCTTGTTGCAGCGGAGGTCCAGAGTGAAATAGAAAGAATTTTTGAGCTGGCCAGGTCTCTGCAGCTGGTGGTGCTGGATGCAGACACCATTAACCATCCAGCGCAGCTCATCAAGACCTCGTTGGCACCCATTATTGTCCATGTTAAAGTGTCCTCACCTAAGGTAAGGCTGTAGACTTAGATACTACCATCCTATTGAAATGTATTGATTTCCACATTTGCTGCTCTCTCCTTGCAGGATACTGTACATAGTCTTAAAGCTGGTTGTTGGTATTTTTTGAGGATTATTTAAAGGTAATGCAAATAACTTGTTGCAATTGGCAGAATAACACTGTACAGTGTGTCAGAAACGGTTTTAGTTTCATTTCCCTGCTATTTACATTACAACTCAACCAGGCAGTGAGGGGAAGTCTAAAGCAGAAGGCCTGACTGTTACATGTGGAGTCTGAACCTACGGGAGCAGTGACAGGCATGTTATTACCTGTGATGGTTTGGTTTTGTGAAAATCTATTTTCTTCTCCCAAATTTGCATACAGCAGCTGTAATGTTTGGAGCGAAACTGTCATTCATAGGCCTGAAGATGGTGATAAAGAGGCCTGACTAGCCAGTTCATGGTTCATTTACTGAGTAGCAGGTCTTTATAGCTCATGTTCATCCCATAATATGAGACATTTCCTTTAGCTTTTCTACTGTATTGTACATGTGATTCCCACAGGTTCTTCAGCGACTGATCAAATCAAGAGGAAAATCTCAAAGCAAACACTTGAATGTGCAGCTTGTTGCGGCTGAAAAACTAGCGCAGTGTCCTTCTGTGAGTAAGCGTCAAACAACATTTTAAATACAGACAAGCAACAACTTTGTTAGGTGACGTTCTACAACCACCACTGGTGAAACAATACAGCGGTTACAATTTGCTCTCTGCTTTTACAACCTCAGGAGATGTTTGATATCATTCTGGATGAGAACCAGCTGGAGGATGCATGTGAGCACCTGGCAGAATACCTGGAGGCATACTGGCGTGCCACGCACAGTTCGCTTAGCACACCACTCAACCCCCTGCTGGGACGCAATCTGGGCTCCACTGCTCTCGCCCCATATCCTGCTGCCATTCAGGTGAACTTGTCACTAAAAAAAGAAAAAGAAGCTGTGTAGTATTATCTTCCTTGAAGAGTTAAATTTAAGTCAGAGCCTTTTGATTAATGATCACTGTTCTGCAAAATTCAGTCACTTAAACTATACATTCATATTTATCAACTTTTTAATAGAGGAAAATACACAATAAGTTGAGAAGTGTATGCTGTGCAGAAACTCCCAAAAATGAGCAAACAAAACTGGAGCACCAATGACGGTATGCTGTGTAGACTTTATTCCAAACATAAGCTGGCATTTCAGCAAACTCGTGCCTTCCTCAGAGCTTAAAATACAGCAATGGCCCACTCCTATATACACACACATAACACACACATAACAATTATCACAAAGAAAACATCAAGAGCAGAGTATCAAAAGGCGCATATTGAAGAATTATGGCAAGAAAAGTACATGCATAGATTCTTCAAAAATATGATCCAGGGTATAAAGACCTAAAAAGGGACAAAGCATATAGAAATAACAACAATATATAAAATAAAATAGAAAAGTACAACAGAATATAAGCAGTTGAGCACATCCTCCTTCAGTCTGAAAGCACTAGCTTCTCTAAGTGTGTGATATGCTTTAAATAAATGTGTTACACCTTTAAGCCATAGCTAAAATGCATAAGTAACTGCAGCAATTGCTATACTAAAAGCAATACTCAACTCTTTTGAGCATGAATCCCTCTCCTGGGGTCCAAAATGTTTGCAGCCTCCTTATTCATATCAGAGGCATAATCAGCTTCACTGCTTTCCATCCAAATGTCCAGGATGTTCCAGACACTTAAATAAGATAAGTTCATTTAAATGTTTTGTATTGTGCATCTGTTCTCTTCAATGTCTGAAGCTTTAATGAAAGCAGTGAATTATGGAAATACTGGTAAATCTATCAGTGTTTTGTACGTAGTAAACATGGATTGGCAGTGAACTACGCCACAGTGGTTTCTTTGGAAGTTTGATGCTTTTTCCCCAGTGAAAACTAGTCACTCTTGGAATTCAATAGAGCTGAATTCAAGCTGACAGAAGCTGACAATTGAGCTCTTTGATGCTCAATTGTGTTCTTATTGACAGCTATTGGGAAACTACCTACTCTATTCTTTCGAGCCTATATGGGCAATTTGCATCATGTTTAACATCATGAATCAGTTACTGTAGATGTGCTGCTCGACTGTCAGATGTTTAACAAAGAGAAACACCTTACAGAATCAGTATTCCCCCTCTCAAACAGGCCCAAAGAAACCGGAACAGCAACCACACAACAACAGACCATTCACCTGTTGAACATCGCAGCCTGATGCCTGCTGATGAGAACTATCATAATGAACGGGCGCGGAAGAATCACAACCGCCTGTCCTCGGGGTCACAGCACAGCCGGGACCACTCACCCCTGGTGGAGGAGGACTACCAGGACTCTTACAAGCCTCATCGTAATCGAGGATCACCTGGAGGCTACAGCCAGGAATCCAGGCAACGCCTTTGAGCTGTGGCCTGCTGTAAACCAGGTGTAGGCCTGTCTTTCTCTGAACAACCACCATGGACCTAAGAGTTGAAGCAGCTTTGCTGTAACATGATGAATCGACTACACTCATTCGGAGTATAACAACCTTGTATTAATGTATGGAATCTCATGTTACCTTGGGCCTTGGCTCCTGCCAAATAAACATTTGAAATAATAGTAAGACTCCTGCTCTTGCTTTTAAAGTGCACAAGGGGACTGGACATGAACATTGTACAAAGAGCAGAAAGGTTATGTTTTAAAAGGAAGGCTAAAGCTGGACCTGATTTGAATATGCCCCAGATGTGGCTTGTGTGTGAAGTGCACTAGCAGGTGTACAACATAGACTCTACTGGACCCTTCCTGTCCTCTCAACTGTTGCTGTAGCATGCAGGTAAGACTGTACAAGTCACCTGCCTCACTTCAGTGCCAGACAGCAAGAGCATCCAATGTTGATCAGCACAAAACCTGTTTGCACGCATGCAGGAGCTGGAAGAAGCAGAATATAATGCATCTTTAAAGCTCCTCGAGTTTGTTTGCCACTGTCCTCGTTGTGAGTGAAATACATTTTGTGGAAGCCTGTTCCTAAATCCAGTTTTACACATTTCTTTTTTAAGTGACATGGGTGATGTTGCAGTGTTCTCTTCAGGGTTCATACAGTAGCTCCCTGTGCCCACTCTTTCTTCTTTCTTCATGCTATTTTTGTCATTAACCATATCAAGACAGACATATAAAAATCATGCAGATATTAATATATTTCAAAGCTCAAAACCTCAGGATTGAGGGGTCATTAAGACCTACAGTAGAAGTGCGCTGACAGATGTAGCGTTTATGTTCTTACCCATGTAATGGGGAGTTCATTGTTATGTTAAATTGGTAAAAGATTTCACGATTTAGTTGTCATTAAAAAGTTAATATAAATAAGGAACACTTCCAGCAAAGGATGGTTATGGCAGCATGTTTTTCATATGCCATACATTTATTTCCTCCTGTTGTCTGTCATTTGTTTGGCTGGACATCATTTAGATTAGCTAGAATTGGATTTTAGTGAGTGATTTATATTGAGGGCTTCCATATGTAAATAAAGAAAGTTCAGTTCATGAAATTACATTCCACTGTTCTTCTTCCAACATCTTCCAGATTTGAACCAATATGGATAAATTTCCTTCATCATACTTTGTTTTGAATGGTTTTATACAGTAAAGTTTACATTAAGCAAATTAACAGGCCCCTCTTTCATATTTTCAGCTATTGATTTTTCAGTGAATTCAATCTGAGTTTTGTCAGACTGCTAATGAATGATAAACAATGGGAAAGCACTTGGGCAGGACTTTGCTGCATTTGTCACAGTGGCTTTTGCATGCTGCTTTTATGGAGGAGCAGTTCCCTGAAGTTTTTTTAATCAAATGATTCATTTGTATGCTAATTCAGGATTAATATATCATTACATTTTAATGACATATCACTGTATCTTGTAATTTAATATTTGTTGAAAATCTCAAGCTCCAATCTTTAAATCCATAGTCTGGATGTCTCGATGTGCTTCAGTGATTCTGGAAAAGGAGGACCAACAAGAAGACTTCTGCTCTTATCTACTACTTACAGTAGCTTTTATTGTTGTTGTTTCAGAACTCTGGATCATAAGCAACAATTAAAAGATCTGAATACTGCCTATGAGAGAATGATGCATTGATAAGAAGTGTGTGTGCACTGTCATTTTACAGTTGTAATGAAATAAACTGCCCTTATGCTGTTGTATGGATATCACTTGTTTTTATCCAAAACATACCTGGTTTTGTCACACGCTTTGTTTATATACCGTCATCACTTTTATACAGACAAGCATTTCAGCAATTATCTGTATTGGTGTTATGTGTATGGAGTGGAGCAACATGAGAGTAAAGTACGCATGCGCAGAATTGACAGCTAACTAGCTCAGCGTATTTCTAAACAGCCAGCTGATATCAACCAGAGAACCATAGTGGTTTGTGTTTCGGTTTTGTTTTGTGCAGCCAACCGGCATATTTAAATTTACATCGTATGGAAGAGGCGTTATTAGGATTAGTTTACACAAGTATGGCTCTTGTACCAATAAGCTTTGACAGCTCTTCATCTGTGTAGTTAGCAAGCTAGCTAGCTAGGTAAAGTTGATAGCACATTGAATAGCATCAACGCTAGCTAGCTAAGTCACAGCAGATTCTTACAAGCTGGCATCAAGGAAACGCATAGTCAGCCATGGGAATACTGTTCACCAAACTATGGAGGCTTTTTAATCACCAAGGTAAGAATAGTGCCGTGGCATTTATCACGAAACTGTCGAATATATGGGCGCTAAGTGGGCTCGATGGTCAGCGAAGGCCCGCTTTTGGAAAGAGGTCTGCTCGGCTCATTATTAGCTGTTCACACATGACAGTTTATGAGTCGTATATATATTTATTTTAACACTGTCATTCACTGTACATGTCTATACGCTGTAACGACGCACACAACGGCATTGTTTCACCTTTCACTGGCGAGGAGTGTGGCTGTTTCTCTACAAACTCCGTTCACCGTTTCTGCATTAGCTGTGTTGGGTTATTTATGTCGGCAGGTTTGGGGTCAGGTCAGATGAAACAGTCGATCTCTTACTGGTGAGCTTGAATCTATTAACACAAAGGTTGTGTAACGTGAGTACTGTGGCACAGCACTCCGCCCGGTTCACCTGGAACTGGAGACAACTACACAAACAGAGCAGCCACATCAGCAGAATGCGGGCCAATAAGGATCAATGAATGACCTGAGAGTGAATCACATTCAGTGTAATTACATCACCTTATCAGTATAAGATCTGGAATCCACGTAACCCAGCACCCATTGTTAAAACGGGAATAAACTGCTCTTTTACTGTTCGGTTTTAGTTGGTTATGACTCAGAGCAGATCACATGCGACGCACTACCTATGGGATGTCAGCTGTGAACGGTTCTGGTGCAGTGACCTCTGCACACAGTGTATGGCACCAGACAAACATCTGTAAGCTGTTTTACATACTGCTCATTAGAGCTGAAATAAACAGTACTCCCTTACCAGAAAAGTCATCTTGACTTGCTGCTTTTCTCTGTATTGTTCCACTGGAAAGTACCTATATTTACAGTAAGTCATGCCACATTAGACTGGGGGGTATTGTGATGTGCATGGTTCACACTTTGTGGACAGATTACTATCTAAACAGTTAACTAATCCAAAAAGTATATACTGTCGGCTATCAATTGGAAATGAACTTAATTATTAGCTGCAAGTCTGCTTAACATTTTATTTCTTTTATACTGACAGACATCCTCTGTCTGACCAGAGACATAAACATGATTTGTTGTCGTCATCTTTGTCTGACCAGTCATCCTCTGTTAGCTCTCTAGTGAGCTTTGCTGCATTTTGAATACAATACATTAGGTTATGTCATTTAAAATCATTTTATTCAAGCAGAAATGCACCATATTTGCTAGTTCCACCCTCTACATGATTTGTTGTCGTCATCTTTGTCTGACCAGTCATCCTCTGTTAGCTCTCTAGTGAGCTTTGCTGCATTTTGAATACAATACATTAGGTTATGACAGTCATTTAAAATCATTTTATTCAAGCAAAATTGCACCATATTTGCTAGTTCCACCCTCTCGCATGTGAAGAATTGCTGCTGAAAAGTGAATTGACTGTCTTTGTGTTTGGTCTCATTGGTTGGACAAAGCAAGTAATTTGGAGACGTTGCCTTGAACTTTGGGAAATTGTGATGAGCATTGTACATTTTGTTCAGACAATTCTACTAACTGGCAGAATAATCAGGGAAACAAATGGCTGTTAGCTGCAGACTGCCTTTGGATTGTGGGAGGAAGCCCATGTTGCCACTGAGTCACCCACTTTAAATACGTTAACTGTTATGTTTAGGTAGAACGTCTTGTTTGCAGGCTGCACCTGGCACCTACATTACCTTTTATATTCTACACAAGAGTCGTTTGTTCCACCCTCTTCCACTTTCACAGAATTAATTATGACCTCCAAGCACAAAAGACAGTGGTGTAAGCAGCGTGTTGTGTTTCTGCACCCAGTCTTTTATGTTTGCTGAAATAACATGACTCGTAGTTTTATTTAGGTTCAACATAGTAGTGTTCTGTAGATAAGGCCCGTATTTTGATCTTGCGACATTGTGTTTGCAGCTGCTGTCATTTCCTTAGCTTTAGTGAGGTTTAAGTCACAGTTACAGTAGCAGCTGCTAACTGTTTGTGGTAAAGTGTGTACATTACAACATGCTGACAGCTTTGACAGGATAATTGGTGGATTTTCTGTGTGTGTATTCTAGGCACAAAAGGTCAGTATTTATTATTACCAACCTAAAATAGTTATAAGTTAAATGTTTTGCATGTCTGTAGGAATTACCCACGGACATTTGAAATCAAGATTTCTGGGAAATGGACGGACGCTGCTCCCTTCAGTAGAATAATGTGAAAACACTCTTGTTAGTGACAAACTGTGCACATACACCAGTCAGTACAGTAGAACTCTGACGTTTTAGGGAATACAAACATAAACAACATGTTTTTGAGCTTAGGAGGCCTTTAAGAATAATCAATGAAAGTCGGTTATAGACTCTAAACTCTAAGCAGGAGACCAAATGCATCTCTAGTGTGCATCCTCTTGTGTGTGTGTTGTGTGATGCTGTGCTTTTCTGTAGACCAAACATGAACATACTTCTCATAAGGCATACTTTAAAACATGGAGAGCAGCAAAAAGAAGTGTGGGTAGAAAGTGGGCTGGATCGTGTTCTGTAATGCTTTAGTTTCTCTAATAACACCAACCAATTGTTGTTCTTTATGTCTTCTGTGTTGTCACGGGATCTGAAACATGTATTTAAGTTCTGTATCTGATAAGAACCTTTAGTGCTGCACATCCTTGAAGCTGGCAGTGCCAAATTTATAGAAAACACATTGATTCCTTATGCTGTGCAATCTTTTCTTTTACCTTTATCTATTCTCTTGTAACTTCAGTGAACTGACAGCAAGAGAGCAACTCATCCTAGCTGTCACATTTTGTTGGTCTTTATCATAAGTACAGCCTCCTTGTATGTATGTGAGAAAGTGGGACTATGCCGTTTCCACAGCTGCTGCTGGGTTCAACCTAATTGTACAAGCTTGCTTAAGACCACCCACTAACTCATCACCCATAGCTGTGAAAGTACACTGTTCACAGCACCACAATGCCTCAGTGATGCTAGATGTGTGAAGCTACACGATTTGATACTGACCGATGGTGCAGAACACAAAAAGGCCATTGTTTGAATTGCTCAATGCGGTTTCACATCAGAAGACATCTTTTGAATGGATTACTGTACATGACCGAGGTTACATAAGAGTCATATATCAGTCAGTCACCAGTACTTTGATCAAATATTGATGTTACAATGAATTCACAGAGAAAACAGTAAGTGTCTTGTTGCCTTTCAGAGCACAAAGTTATTATTGTGGGCCTGGACAATGCTGGCAAGACCACAATTCTTTACCAGTTGTAAGTATCCAGACGTTCAGTAAACGTCTTTAAACATCCTCTCAGTTTATTTTCCTTATGATGTATAATTGGGCTAATATGGAAATGTTTCTTGTTTCAACCACAACCTAAAGGTTATGTTTGTGTTTTTTTCTTCAATTTTTAATATTATAGTTCAATGAATGAGGTCGTACACACCTCTCCTACGATTGGGAGCAACGTGGAGGAGATTGTGGTCAACAACACCCATTTCCTGATGTGGGACATTGGGGGCCAGGAGTCCCTTCGGTCATCATGGAATACGTACTACACAAATACAGAGGTAACAGCAGCTTCTACTGGCGGTGCTTCTTTGGCATGAAACTAAACTAGGTAGATTGCAGTGATCATTTAAACCAAAGAAATTGCTGCTGTCTGTACTGTGTCAGATTCTTCCACAGTCATTTTGAAATACTTGGAAATGAATGAAGTTCGCATCAGAATGTAGTCCAGTGTGACTGCACTGCCATTGTGCCTGTGGTTCAGGTCAGGGTCTGACAAAGCTGAGAGGCTGTGTTTTTTAAATTAACTGCCCATTGTTTCTCTCCACCTTTTGTGACTAGTTTGTAATTGTGGTGGTCGACAGCACAGACAGAGAAAGGATCTCGGTGACCAAAGAGGAGCTCTACAGAATGTTAGCACATGAAGTGAGTGTCATGAAAATTGATAATGATCCATGTTACATGTATTTATAAAAATGTCCACGGTTTATTTTATTATTGGTAATTAAAAGTACAACAGCTTCTTAGCTACACATCATCTTGTCATGTTTTATACATTTAGATAGTAGGGATGTAACGATATTTGTGATTTCGCAATATTGCAATTGGAAAAATGTCTCAACTGTTGTGGATCATTGACAATAGCAACATGGTTATTTTGTTAGTATAGTAATGGCTGCAGAATTTGAAACTGACATAGCAGATGCTCCTTTTGTTTAGGACCTGTTGTGTGGCAGCATTTCAGTTTTCCACTTTTGAGAAATGACATTGGCGAAAAGGAAACTAACACTGAACAACTGGCAAATACCACCAGATGAAGGCAATGCTAGCCCCGTGTAAAAATAATTTAGTTTAATTATTTCATTGTTCTATTTAATACAGCCTGTGCAATATTACTGTAAATGTGAATGAGACTGAAATAATTCATAAAAAATGTTTAAATGATTATGTGGCTCCACTCACGTGAACTGTGTTTATTGAATGACCCATATAGGGTGTGTGGGTGTATATATGTGCACATTTTAGAGTCATTTCCCTTGAAGTGTGTTGTCTTTATAACATCTGAAAGAATTAGCATTTCTGACTGGCTTCTGTTGTCTCTTGTTGGTCCTCCAGGATTTAAGAAAGGCAGGGCTGTTGCTCTTTGCCAACAAGCAGGATGTGAAAGGTTGCATGACTGTGGCTGAGATCTCCCAGAGCCTCCAGCTTACCTCTATCAAAGACCACCAGTGGCATATTCAGGCCTGCTGTGCGCTCACTGGAGAGGGGTGAGAACTGCATTTAATGCTTGTTAAATTTGACTAAAATTGTGTATTCATGCCTTTTTACTGCTTTACAGTAAACATACAAATCCTGTTTATCTGCATTTTGTCCCTCTCCCATCCACACCCTCACTCCTCCACGACACTTGCGCTGCCTTGTTTTCCTCCAGGATGTGCCAGGGTCTCGAGTGGATGATGTCAAGGCTGCGCGTGAGATGATGACTTTTGACTTTGAAGAGGAGTGCGCCATTGCTCTGTTTCTCTGCCTCCAGACAAGAGCTTGAAATGAGGATGGGGGTGAGGTCTGTTGATGGATGGCCTTCTCCTCTTTCCTGTGGATTTGATGTGGGCAGTTTGCTGCCAGGACATTGGATTCTTCTGTGATAATTTATTTTACAAAAGACTTCTGAATCCAGAACAAAAAAAACTGACAATTTCTGAATGACATCAGACAACAAAATTATTTAAACTGAAATTTCTGCATGGTTTCCTTTCAGTTAAACACAGAAGTCCGAAAAGTGTCTGATTTCAAACTATACATGGACATATTCCTCAACTGTATGTGAGTCTAGCCCACAGTGGCCTTGCAGTATTGCCGTACTGGCTGTGGTGGTTTTTATTGCCCCCCTGTGTGTACAGTCCAGTATTCTCTATCAACTGTTGCCTGCAGCAGAATGTTCAAGCAGTGATGGCTGATGATGGCTGAAACATGCAAAAGGGACGGTCAAATCACACTATGCCCTTTTCCTTTCAGTCCCTGTGAATAATCAGTGAAATAAAGTGTTTTTATCTGTTTCAGGTGAAATTAATGTCATGAATTAGTATTTATTTCAGGTGACTCACTAGATCGTTTTTTTTTTTCTCTCATTGTTTGATACATTTTCTGATATATGCTTTTCTCCTGGGATAATTGTGAACTCTACTGACTTCTGTGTTTGTAACTTGTTAAACTTGTTTTTAGTCCTTTAGGGGGCAGAAAGTGTCACATGCGCTCATGGTCCCTGATGCCTTTCAGGGAGCATGAGCTACAGGAGTAGAGAAGAGAAAGCAGCACACAGTGAGTGTTTGAGAGAGAAACACAAAATAGTGAGTCCTGAAACCTAGAAGTGGGTTAACATTTTAGCATTTCCAGTTTTTGTCCCAGAGTCTGTGGGTTTTTGGTTACACACTTGAAACAAGTTCCATGGTTAACACAAGGGCAACACATTTTCATGTTTTCTTCTACAACATAAAATACATCAGTAAATTCCCCACCTGTGATTTCCTAATGCCTTATGTCTTAAAAAAAGGTGGTTGCTAACAAGTGGCTAAATGAGCCTCCACAGGTTATCTGGGATATCAAGCGTCATCACGGAGACTCTTAATATGGGAGACTCTACTCACCAGCCCACAATTACAGCCTTGTTATTTTAAACTTGTGAACTTGCAAACTATTCTAACTGACACAGTCACGACCACCAGGTAGATTAGGTCACACATCTAACCCATGATCAACTTGAAACATAGTTCTATAGTCCATGCACTATGTCATAGTTGACATAGTTCTATAGTCCATGCACTATGTTTCATCTTAATATTTCATACTGTATAACTGCCAATTTAAATATTGGCTTTATTTTTATTAGTATTTGTTCAAATCCTTTACCATGGAATGGTCCGTTTCACTGTAAATTAAACTATTCATCAATATCTTGACATTGAATCAAATGAGTGTGGGTAATGTAAACAGGGTTTTCCAAGGTAACAATCCCAAAGAGAATTCTCTCCCAACTGTGCAGCTCTTCTCTTTTTAGCTTCTAGTCGCTCGGCTCAAAAGTCCATGATCCAGTCTTAAATTGGCTGATGTTTTAAGAGCAAAAGGACTTGAACAATGGAACTTACTGGCAAAGGTGGAACTGTGAGTTATTGAACACCGACACAGTGTTTGTCGTAAAGTCCTACTGTGTGAAGATCATGTTCTGGCAGGACAGCTGACCAATCTGTTCATGAAAAAAGACAAGATGCATCTGAAAGTACCAACAAATTTCCAGTAAGAATTTATTTGGTCAGATTTTGCATCTTTTGTCTCTCCTATTAAAATTGGTTGCACATTCACCAGTTAGTTGTGCCACAGATCCTAAAATGAAGTAGGTTTGTTTATGTTTCATATTGATTTGAAACATCTTCAAACTCGAGTTGACTGCTGTGATTTCCACACTGTGATCTGCCAAATAGACCTGATGTGTCACAGTGTTTCTTATGCCTTATGCATCAGGATGAGCAAATATTTCAGGTAAGTCAAACTAATAATATGCCAAAATGATATTTCACTGCAAAGCTGTTCTTTTTGTATCCGTTTGCCACAGATTCACAGTGCAGGACCTGGAGATGTAAATGGTCTTGTACTAGTGTGTCTGGTAGTGCTTTTCTATGCATTGCAGTGCACTCAAACTGGTTTCACACTATTTGGCCATTCACACTCACACACTGGTATCATCACCAGGAGCAACTGGGGGGGTTCAGTGTCTTGCTCAAGGACCCTTCGACATGTGGACTGGACAAGCTGGGAATCGAACTACTAATCTTCCGGTTAGGAGACGACCTGCTCTACCTCCTGAGCCACACCCACCCCCTTTGACGATGTGTGTCCTTGGTTTATTTTGAGCCAAGTGTCAGTAATGGTGTCAGGAACTATATTCAAGAGTGAAAGATGTGATTGTAAGCTGAGCTCTTTGTTAGATTGTTTGTACAGGCGTCATCTGTGTTCGTAACAGTACAGACTATGGAGAAAATGTCCAGATCCTAAAATGATTTTAAAAAGTCCTTTGATTACTTAAGCAATGTGTTTTATCAGCCGTACGGTTTCTTATAAAACTTGAAAGGTCAGTGCAGGGTCTGGAATTATCTGAATGTAAACACCAACCTGTCCTGTTCTGCAGAGTCATTCTGTGACTGACCAACTGGTATCATTCTTGGACGTTCACCTCACTAGAATTTCTTGTTTTGGTGTTGACAGTTGGTCGTGTTTATGTTGTGGTTGTCTTTCATGCAGCTGTTGAGTTCTAGTCTCACTGGTCATCAGCCGTTTTTTCCAGTGACTAAGCACAATGAAGCCCCCTCCCTGCACTGGGTGTCCCTGGCATTGGGAAGTCATTCTGCCAACTGCTAGAATTATTGAAATGCTGTGATGCTCCGAATGTTTCCATAGGCTAGAAAATCTTTTGTATATGTTCAACTTAAACTCAGCAAAACGTTTTTTAGTTTGAAGAGTCAGTTTGCTCAGTGATGTCTAGTTATGTAAATAGTTTAGGATTTATTTGTCCAGGTTTTGAGATACTCTTCAGTACAACAGAGGTAAATGCAATTTAATCTGTCGCATAGAAAAGTAACATAAAAGAAACAATCTGATGGTTGGCCATCAAAAGTTGTCAAAGGGACTATTTCTGCAGTAGAAAGTAGATTCAGTGATTTGATTTGATTTGATTTGATTTGATTTATTCTTTACATACTGACTGTTGTTACATGTTTGAAACACACATAATTCCACACATATCCACAAATATATTTTCAATTTGCTTATACCTAGTACATGCTTGAACGGAGTAGGAAGAAGTTAGACTTATCTAGTCCTACCCCATAACATCATCTTATCATCATTGGTTTGCAAGCAGTATTACTACATAGATACATATTCTACATCCACACTCCCATCTGATTAATCATTAAGCCTGTTCTTGCCCATATCTTGATTGACA